AATATATTTACACGCTAGAAATATTAGATATTTGTTAAAAATGTATTCTCATCTGTTTACCGCAAAAAAAACAAAACAAAACAAAAATAAGACGTCTTAAAAAAAATTCTTTACCCAGTATGATYGCATGCAATATCATTTAATATAACATATATTATTAAAAACTCTGCAGTACAATATACCTATATTAAATTATTATTACGATATACGTTTCGTGAATGAGTCGTTTGCTTTTCAGCTCTCTGCAACGAAGACGCCAACGGAAACGTGCCACTGGGAAAATCGTGCAACAGGTACTGGCAGTGCCAAGGAGGTTACCCAAGGTTGCARAGGTGTCCGGCCATGTTGGTGTTCGACAGGCGCACTTTGAGGTGCGTTGTGCCGCCGACCGAGGACTGCGAGGTGCCGACCACTCCGGCCCCGTCGCCAGACGATTTGCCGTCCAACGAAGACGATGGTGAAGAGAACGTGCCGCAACAAGCCAAGGCAACCGCCGGCCCAGTGCCACAGCGCCAGCAACAGCGAAATCAGCAACAACAGCAACAGCAACAGCAACAGCAACAGCAGCAACCACAACAGCCACCACAACTTCATCAGAGGCAAGGTGGTCCGTCACCGCAGAGACAACAGTTCTTGCAGCAGCAGCAACAACAATTACCGCAACAACAGCAACAGTTGCCCGCCGCTACGCAACAACAGCAACAGCAGTTGCCGCAACAACAGTTCCAGCAGCAACCACGGGCTCAGTTCCAGCAACCCACGGCTAGGGCTGTTCAACAACCACAACAACAACAACAACAGCAACAGCAGTTTGTGCCACAACAACGGGCTCAACCTCAACAGTTCCAAYTGCCACCGTTGTCGGACCATCAACAACAACAGCACACCGTGCAGAGGAGAGAAAACGGTGCAGCGGTGACGTACGGTGGTGCCGAAGACGACGTTGGTGACGACGWCGTCGACGTACCTGTCGCGTTTTCCGAACACTAAACACAATTATTGCACAGTACAACTAACGTCGATACACCTACACACACCTATACACTTAGAATATCATAATATTTAGTTTAAAACGAAAATTATATAGTACATCGAAAATAATGGTATGACCGAGTTGTTCGGTTATAYAGTCRGAAATGATTTTTTTTTCACGAAATCTGATCTTWACTATTCAAAAAAAAAATTCGTTGATTTTTCGATTTTGTTTTCCGTTTTTATTTTAAGGCGATTTTTCGAGGACAGTTGCACGAAAGTGTCTAATACACTTCAATAATTTTCACTAGAAATCACGTGTTCGACGATTGCGTTCGAGAGTCTAAATATAAATTTATATTTTTGTGRACAGCCCTTACACAGAGGATCATAAAAAAAAAACCAATCTACGGCAGTGTAAACCATCGACGAACTAAAATAAATTATATCGTTACATTTCTAATCTACCCGCTTACCCGATCAGTTTCAAAAGTCATAATAACCTTTATTCGTTTCCGTTGTATAATATCGTCTACAACAGTTGGTAAACATTTAAATGCTTTTTTTTTTAAATTTTGTTCGAATCGATCGTCGATACACAATTTCGTTATACATTCGTGTCGGTAAAAAAAACGATATTAAAACAATTAAAATATTTAAGACCGTCGACGAAACTAATTCATTATTCAATAATAAAACGAGAAATCGCTCCGTACAACATATATATATACATGTATATGATATAATAATATTTTAGTCTTTTAAGAGTGTAACGTTTAGATGTTATTCGTATTGATACAAATTTGAAATCGCTTGCCAAAGGACTGAGTTTATAACGAATT